AGAGGCAGAATGACTAAGTCCAGAGCGGGAGAAGGTACCAGAGAAGGGCGGTCAAACGAATCTGGAGGAGGAAGGACAAGCAGGAGAGTGAACTGGATCAAGGGCAGCATCCATGAAAATCAAGGACCAAGGGCTGGTCCATAGCTGGGACAGGCGAATCCGCCACCGAAATGAGAGTGGAAGCAGAGAATCAGAGATAAAAGATGAAGAATATAGCAATGCCTTCTTACCCGCCCGGAGGAAGGAAACTTACGATTTTGACGTGGAGAGAGGCGTACCATCAGCAATGTTCCGGGCAACAGCGTTTACAGGCTCAACAGGAGGAGAATGGGAGCAGTCAACATGAATGTTGATAGGAGGATTGACAATAGCCTGGACAGACAGGCAGTGAGGAGGGTCAAAAGACAGTGGAGACTTAGAAAGGATTGGGGCGAGAAGGGAAAGAGGCCACAAAAAACAATTATATAATATAATATATATTAATATATAACATTTAATATGTTTTATATATCTATAAATAAAAATTGAAATTTTCGTTTGTTCAAAATCTCTAATCACCGAAAGTTCTTCACCGATTGTTTTGAAATTCGTACAACGTTCCATTCGCATCCGGCCAGGTTTTTATATACATACTATATATATGTCACGTCTGTGACGCTAAAAAAAGCTTTCTGAAAAACTTTCCATACTAGGAAAATCTTCGATACTTCTTTACCGATTACTTTGAAATTTTGATAACGTAGCATTCGAATTGGCATGTCTTATATCTACTATATACATGCCTCACCTGTGACAGGAAAAAAAAATTAAAACAGCACCATCTGTTGGACATAAGAACAACACTTTCTGTAATCTGACAGTTCAACCTTGAAATTTTTACAAGGTTTCATTCGAATTGGCTCATGGTTTTATATACCTACTATAAAGATGCCACCCCTATGTCAGGTAAAACAGCCCGTCCTCCAAACAAAGATCCAAAAGTGATTCCATGCACCCGCCAAACCCCCTGTTTATGAATGAAAAGCGGTTTACACGACTCACCTGCTGACGTTCGAACATATCCGGAACAAGTGCTTCACTGACGAATTTTGTTCGAATCACAACGCTATAAATGCTTCACCCACGTATTACAAATAAAATAATCGCCAACAGAACCTAAACGCCTAACCTATCCTATGCCTATATATACACAATATGCCAATATTTTGTAATATTAATTTATACTTGAGAAAATTCCCGTTTTGAATGAACAGCATGTTAAAATTTATGAATGCGTCTGTGGGGTTGACCGCTGAATGTAATGGACTCGAGTCGAGGACGGGTTGGGTAAAAAACATGCAATTTTGAAAAACGGTGCCATCTGTTGCACATAATAGCAACATGCACGCTGTACTAAATAGGTCACTAATTCCATTTCAATGTTTCCGATTGCACTGATAAATTTTATTTTCATAGATTTTGATTTATATTTTTTATCGAATTATTTTTTGTGACTGTTTGAATTGAGCCGTGTTTACCCTACCGTTCATTTCGTAAGTATACATATAGATGCCACACCTGTGACAGGTAAAACTGCTTTTCTTGAAAAACAGCACCATCTGTTGCATGCAAGAGCAACACATGCTATACTAAATATGTTGCAATTCCATTTCAATGGTTCTGATTGCATTGATAAGTTGAATTTTCATAGATTGATTTATTTTAATTTGGATTTAATTGTGTGAATCTAGTTGGAATTTAGCCGTGTTTACCATACTGTTCATTTTGCGAGTATAGATTACTTCTATATTTTTTTATTTTTTTCCATTTCATTTTTTAACTTATATTTCAGTGATGGGAACATCAGATCACCATGTTTCCAATTTTCTGATGGGAACATCAGACTATTTGAGAAGGAATTGGTCGAGGTAGTGGGGACGACGCAGGAACGGAAGTGAGAGATGGTGGGGGAGGATGATGGGACAAGGGAGGGAGTAATGGTGGGGAAGGACGACGGGATGGGGAAGTTCGGGATGGTGGGGACCAGGGCAAAGGGGAGTTGGGCATTGTGGAAAGGAAGAGGATGGTGCAGTGGGGAATATATGGAGGCCGAGGAGACGGGTGAGGGGGGGATGGTTGAGAGGACTGGGGAACAGGGAAGGTGGCTGTGGCAGGGCACAGCTAGTATATATATATATATATATATATATATATATATATATATATATATATATATATATATATATATATATATATATATATATATATATATATATATATATACCCGCACTAGCTGTACCCGGCAACGCGTTGCTGTGGCTCGGCAACGCATGTGCATTGCCGAGTCACGGCAACCTTTCCCCGTCTCCCAGTCCTCCCCACCAATCCCCCCCCCCACTCCTCCATCCCCTTGTTCTCCCAACCATTCCTTACTCACTCATCCCTTTTTCCTCCCCATTAGCTCCCACTCCCCCCGTCCCCCTACCATTCCTCCCCACCTTCCCCCCCCCTCCACTCCCCTTGTCCTACCAACCATTCTCCATTCCCTCGTCCCCACCATCCCCAACGGCCCTGTCCCCTCGTTCTCTGTCACCATTACCCCCTCCCCACCCCTTCGTCCTTTCCACCATTTCACACTCCCTCTTCTGATGCTCAAATGATCTGATGTTCCCATCAGAAAATTGGGAACATCAAATGATCTGGGGCTAGATTCATGAAGTTATACAAACCTGTTCATCTTTGGCACCTTTCGTTACAATTATTAAAGAGTTACCGAGCTGCAGAGCACCAGGTGGCTGTTCATAACAGTTGATTGGCAAGTTCTCATGCTTGTAAACCGTTTAATAAATGTAACCAATGCCAAAGATTGAGGAACGATGTACACGTTCCTAAGTACTTGTGTAACTGCTTCGTGAATCTGACCCTAGATGTTCCCATCACTGAAATATAAGCAACTTAAAAAAAAAAAAGATTAAAAACATTAAGAGTGAAAAAATTAACTAATCACCAAATGAACTGTAGGGTAAACAGCTCAATTACAACGCAAGGTCACAATAGTCAAATCAAAATTAAAATAAATCTAAATTTATGAACTATGAAATCTGAAACATTGAAATGTAATCTTAACATTATAGTGTGTGTTGCTATTATGTGCAACAGATGGTTCCGTTTTTTCAAACTCATGTTTTTACCTGTCACAGGGGTGGGCTCTATTATAGTAGGAATATAAAAAGACCTGCCTATTTGAATGCAACGTCGTGTGAAAATTTCAAAGCAATCGGCGAATTACTTTCAGAGATTAGCGATTATGAACAAACGAATATTTCCAATTTTACTATATACAAGTTAAAATGGAAATGTTCTTTTGTTCAAAATCGCTAATCTCCGAAAGTTCATCACCAATTGCTCTGAAACTTTCACAACGTTCCATTCGCATCCGAGTGAGTTTTTATATACATACTATATGGATGTCACGTCCGTTATGGGAAAAAAAACCATGCTTTTGAAAAACTTTCATGCGTGTAATCTTCGAAACCTCTTTACCAATTGCTTTGAAATTTTGACAACGTTGCATTTCAATAGGCACGTGTTTTTAAGTACCTACTATATACATGCCTCACCTGTGATAGGAAAAACCACTGATAAACAGCGCCATCTGTTGAACACAAGAACAACACATGCTGTAATCTCCCAAAGTTCTTCACAGATTGCCTTGAAATTGACAATGTGCCATTCAAATATGCGTGCGTTTTTAAATTCCTATTATATAAATGTCACACCTGTGACAGGTAAAAACAATTTAAAAAGACAGCGCCATCTGTTGAACGTAATAGCTACACTGTTATGTATTCCCTTTCTATGTTTCCGACTGCATTAATACATGGAATCTTCGTAGATTGATTTATTTCAATTTTGATTTTATTATTTTGTGTGACATTGGGTTGAATTGAGCTGTGTTTACCATACTATTCATTTCGTAATTATAAGTTTAGATGCCACACTTGTGATGGGTAATTTTTTTTTTTTAAACAATGCCAAACACTGTTGCATGCAAGAGCCATAAACTATAGTATGGTGTTTTACTATTCCATTTTAGCATTTCCGATTGCATTGACAAATTTCTATTTTCATTATGATTTAATTATTGTGCGACTGTTGGAATTTAGTCGTGTTATTTACCATACCGTTCAATAACGTGAGTATAGTTTATTTTCTTATTTCTTCATTTTTTTCCTTTCCTTCTTTAATTGTTTCTTATTTCAGTGATGGAAACATCAGATCATTTGGGAATGCATCAGACAAGACTGGGAAATGATGGGGAGGACGAGGGGGATGGTATCTAGGACGACGCGTCGGGGGGTAATTGTGGGGAGGACAAGAGGACGGGGAAGTTTCGAATGGCGAGGACGAGGGGACAGGAATGGAGAATGGTGGGAAGAACAAGGGGACAGGAGAGTAGAGGATGGTGCAGAGGACGAGGGAACAGGGGAGGGTGGGGTGGGGGAATGCTAGGGAGGACGAGGGTATGCGGGAGTGGAGGATGAAGGAAGGGAGAAAAAAAAAAGACGAAGGAGTGAGGAATGGTTATGAGGACAAGAGGACTGGGAGACGGGAAAAGGTTGCTGTGGCTCAGCAATGCACATGTGTTGCCGAGCCATAGCAACCTGTAATTTATTATCACTTTAGACAAGCGATAAGAAATCACATTACAGAGTGATCTTATCACTAGAGATAAGAACTATGTAGGTTCGAAGCGTCGAGAGATTTTAATAACCAACACATTCTTCAGGTATTCAATTCTTTTCTTCACCTTTAAAACGTGACTGAAATCTTCCAGCTGAATCCTGATGCAAGAGCATTAGTAAGAGGGATAGAAGGCCTGTATCAGAAAATGGTGAATACACAATATGCCGTCATCAGTGGGACAGTTATAATATATATTATATACATTATATATACACATTATTACATATAACACGAAGTTCTGTTAACCATTTGAAGGGTAAAGTCTAGCAACTTGCCTTAAGGATGCCGTAGATGAGAAGACTTCCGACTATGATTTCGAAGACGCCCTCCACTAAACCAACTGCCATGATTACCGTCGCTATAGCAGCAGTGCCATCAAAAGCAGATAACCAATTTCATGTAAACAAATTTGCTCAGGATGTAATTACCAAATAGAAAATACAAAACCTAAATGGGATAGTTAAAGATTTCATTAAATTGGCAAGAAAAACCTAGTTAATTAGGTTTATGTAATTAGGCTTTAGTAATTAAACTTCACTAGAATACAAATACACACCAAATGTTGTAATATATTCTCTACAATGCTTGAAGGTTTCTCTCTCTAGACATAACTCCGGCACAGCTTCTTGTATTGTTTTGTTAAGAGTCTCAAGATCACTGCATTCTATCAGCCAGACCCCGAACACCTATAATACAAGACCACATCGGCACTAGTAAAACAAAGCTTTAAATAAGCCGCTTTATTCATAACTATATAAATCAGCATTAATGGTTTTACAGTTTATGCATGTACACTCACTACAGTAGTGGACTAGAGAAAATTTCTGAGGTGCACTTTGCCTTCAAATACATTAGAAGACTAGCAAGCAACAATTTAAGGAATCTAGGTAAATTAATGCATCCTTCGTTACTTATCCAAGAGTTATTCGACTACTCACTTTAGCAAGTCCCAATAGAGCAGCAGTAGCCGATAAGGTTAATTACCTTTGAATAAACAAGTGTGCAACAATGTTAAACAAAATATTACCAAAAGGATCAATACAAGGCCAAGCTAAACAAGATTAGTCCTTAATACTGTCAGACCCAGGCTCCTCGCCCCTGAACCATATGGTAAGGCACATCCTTAGATGCCAGGACGCTGGTTCTATCAAAAGACGGTTCGATGCAGTTATTTTACAATACATCACTGACAGGTCCTCGTATGAAACAAAAAGTTTAGCATGCCCGTGCCGAGAGCCTTCATAAACTAAAACTTCACCGAGTGGCGATTGGTGCCATGCAGGAGATAAGACACCCAAGTAGTCTTGTTAGAAGTCAACAAAAAGTCTTTACTGCAAAACTTAAATCTATATGCATCGCTTTCTGGATTCCTGTGCAGAATACAAGTAATTATCAAAAGTCACCAAACTGGGAAGTTTATGTAACACCATCAAATGTGCGGAATAATCAGAGGGCTCTAAATATCACCAAGAATGCCAATACGAGAATAGACAAGCACAAGGCGAAAGATATCAAAAGTATCCGACTCGCCAAGAATTCTATCCAGGGACAAGCGACCGCAATGGACGGTCGGAAAGCAATACACGCGCGTTCTGGAAGTCTAGACATTCAACAAGGATACGCACGACCGTAAGAGGGACAATGCAATTTGGATAAGGAGGAGCAGGGCGGCGCTCCATTAAGTGACTGGGAGTTAAGGGTGCATGGCCAATATGCAACCTCGCCAGAGCCGTTTCCCCATCACCGGTTACGGTGGTAGGAGGAATGCCATGAAGTCACTACTCATGAGAGTACACAGTTTGTTACCAGTAACAAGACCAACAATCCTGCCAACGGGTGAGGATGGAAGAATTAATAATTGGGTAAAAGTCTGAAAAGGAATACCTTTATGAGATGGGACAAGAGCAGACAGCTTCCCTAGCAGCACCATCAGCACTTTTTTTTTGTAAAAATGAGACCAATATGGCTGGGAACCCAGCAAAACTAAAGTGACTTAAATTTACTGGAAATAAGAAAGTTTCAACTATGACCACTGGATAGACTATTAATGGACCCGAGAGCCAGGAGGGCACCAAGAGTCAAAAACCATAAAGGAAGACCGACAACGAGAAAGCAGGAGACCAAGAACAGAGACTAGCATAAAGTTCTGCTGTGAAGATGTTAGTCTCCGGAGGTAGGCGACAAGTGCGGTCAGGAAAAACAATAGCCTACACCGTCCGTAGACTTAGACCCATTGGTGAAGACTGAAACGAAGCGGGAGTGCCAAGAAGTGTTAAAGAAAATTGCGTTTCAGAACCGTAGTAGAGGTAAAAAAATACTTTAGGCGATTCAGGTCAAGGATGTACAGAGCTTCGGAAGGAGCACTACGGGGACAAGGAAGGAACACCAGGAGAAATATTTGAAATACGAACTGAAAGACAATTATGTAAAAAGAGATCACCATCTCCCTCTTTCTGTCTGGTTAAGAGGAACAGGAACCACAGGAGGAGTAAAAGTTAAAGCATGACAGGCGAGGGGAAAAGATGTTACAAGTTGATGTTGATGATGTCTTGCAACAAATAAAAAATCCGGCACAATTTTAGAAGACAGCAGCAGCAGCAGCAGCAGGAACAAAAGGATTAAAAAAGGACAGACTCGTGGGGCATCTTACACCGACAGCCGCCCACTACGAGGCTAAAACTTTGGCACCATTTCCACTCTCCTTTGCCTCTATGCAGCATCATTACAAGGTATGATTAAATTCCGCCTATACTAGATTTTAGGAGTATCGCGTTCAGAAACTTTCAATACACTTATTCTGGCAAACCCATATTTGGGGTAACTTATTTTAATTTTGTAGAAGATTGAAAAAGACCGAGGGTGATGGGGCAGGAAGGGAGGTAATGTGTGAAGTGATCAAGATGCAAACGGCAGTGCGTTTTAAGGCGGGGGGGGGGGGGGAATTTGAAGGGCGTTTGTGGGAACATTGGTGCGAGACTGGAGAGATGGGAGTTAACACCCGAGAAACCGAGTGGGTTTTGCTGAAAGTATTTTAGAACGTCAAAGTATGCTCCAGCGAGTACAGTCAATGCATCACTGCGGAGCATCTAGAGTGCTTCTGTAGGAAACTATCTAGTCTACTCAAATCATTAATTCAATATTTAAAAGTGCTATGTTTAAGGAAACCATTTAAGATTTGTTACGCACGTTGTGGACAAAAGGGAAGATGAAACTTCAGGTTCATATTACTATTGGTTATGCAGAAGGTGGTCTTTACACGCGCAGTGTGCTCTAACGGTGAACAGTGCTGCTGGTAACCAAGGCTCTGGGATGCCGACAGCATGCCTTAGCCAAGTGAATGATAGAGGTTCTTACCAATAGGAGGACTGCAATGACTAGACTGCCCATCTTTGCTTTTGACGAGAAGAATCTGGTTCCATCCCACATCCTAAAGTCTGTAGGTTAAGGATATAGACATTTCCATTTCAGTAGTAGCAACAGTAAAGATTTACAATTAACATCAAAGTTAAATGATTAATATATGACAATGTCAATAAATATTTTTTAAAATATACGAAGAAGTCAAATTTATGAACTCTGCATTATCATTGGCATTAAATACATACTTCCTTTCTCTTTAAAACCGTTGATAAGAATTTCAAATAGTTAAAGTTAGTTTAACTTGCATCCTTCAGCTTCTCCAACTGCTCTCTAAACTAGCTAATGACTCACCAATGAGAAACACGAACGTTGGAAGACAAAATGCAAAACTGCTGGCCGGATGAGTGTGCGTCTCGCTCTGCGTTGGTCAGTGAAGTGGAAGTTTAAGCTCCATTGGACCCTTAAGTCACCTGGGCTCCCGGCCTCCACCAATCAGTGACGTCCGTTCCTTGTGACGTTCCAACATAAGGCGAAGCTTTCCTTTCGGAACAATCAGGCTATGCTCGCAGCCCGTCCTCCAAACAAAGATCCAAAAGTGATTCCATGCACCTGCCAAACCCCCTGTTTATGAATGAAAAGCGGTTTACACACGACTCACAACTGCTGACGTTCGAACATATCCGGAACAAGTGCTTCACTAACGAATTTTGTTCGAATCACAGCGCTATAAATGATTAAACATTACAACTTTATAATTAAACATTATAAACAAATAATCGGCAACAGAACCTAAACACCTAACCTAACCTAACCTATGCCTAAATATACACAAAATGCGAACATAAAATAATATTATTTTATAAATGAGAAAAGTTTTGTTTTGAATGAACATAATGTTAAAATTGATGAATGCGTTTTTGGGTCAACCTCTGGATAATGGACATGGTCTGAGGACGGGTTGACAAATACAAATAATCGACAAAAGAACCTAAAGACCTAACCAATGCCTAAATATGCACATTATGCTAATATATATAACAATATCAATATATATTTGAAAACATTCCTATTTTGAATGAACAGCATGTTAAAATTGAGGAATGCATCTTTGGGATCGACCGCTGGATGGAATGGACTTAGTCTGAGGACGGGTTGTCGCCGCGAGTGGTGTAACACGGGGAGGTGCCAGGCACCAGCTAGTAAGGTAAAGTGAGCAATTATTTGAGGGCTAATGTGATCAGACGTGAAGTAAAGAGCAACGAGAGTGGCGAAATTATTTTTCTGCTTTATCACACCACCAGCTGGAAAATAATGGTACATAAAGAAAAGGATGGGAAAATGGTCACTTATGAAGGTCGTCTAGGAGCTGCCAGACCATTGTAAATGTTAGAGGGTCACAGGAAGTTCTAAATAGGACATTGTTCAAGTGCCCTAATCAACACCAGAAGGCTCTCCCACATTCAAGAAAGACATGACCTTCCACGTTTCAAGGGGTGTAATAAACTCGCCCCTCGGGGCAAAATTTAAATTTAAAAGAGGTGTTAAAACACTCTACACCAGCCCAAGTGCACCGTATGGCAGCCTCTACACTAAAAGGAAAAATCTATGAGAAAGAGCTAGCATAATTTTATAAATTTCCGATCACAAAACGAGCATCTTAAGTGTTAAAGTCATGGTACCACGTGATCAGTGTCAAGTTTTAAATTAGATGGGAGTAATTGGAGGTGATGGGGGTGCATGGCGGTGATGGGGGGTACCTGGCGGTGATGGGGGTGCATGGCGGTGATGGGGGGTGCATGGCGGTGATGGGGGTACCTGGCGGCGATGGGGGGGTACCTGGCGGCGATGGGGGTGCATGGCGGTGATGGGGGTACCTGGCGGCGATGGGGGGTACCTGGTGGTGATGGGGGTGCATGGCGGTGATGGGGGGTACCTGGCGGTGATGGGGGTACCTGGCGGTGATGGGGGTACCTGGCGGCGATGGGGGTACCTGGCGGCGATGGGGGTGCATGGCGGTGATGGGGGGTACCTGGCGGTGATGGGGGTACCTGGCGGTGATGGGGGTACCTGGCGGCGATGGGGGGTACCTGGCGGCGATGGGGGTGCATGGCGGTGATGGGGGGTACCTGGCGGTGATGGGGGGTACCTGGCGGCGATGGGGGGTACCTGGCGGCGATGGGGGTGCATGGCGGTGATGGGGGGTACCTGGCGGTGATGGGGGGTGCATGGCGGTGATGGGGGGTGCATGGCGGTGATGGGGGTACCTGGCGGCGATGGGGGGTACCTGGCGGCGATGGGGGTGCATGGCGGTGATGGGGGTACCTGGCGGCGATGGGGGTACCTGGTGGTGATGGGGGTGCATGGCGGTGATGGGGGGTACCTGGCGGTGATGGGGGTACCTGGCGGTGATGGGGGTACCTGGCGGCGATGGGGGTACCTGGCGGCGATGGGGGTACATGGCGGTGATGGGGGGTACCTGGCGGTGATGGGGGTACCTGGCGGTGATGGGGGTACCTGGCGGCGATGGGGGGTACCTGGCGGTGATGGGGGTGCATGGCGGTGATGGGGGGTACCTGGCGGTGATGGGGGGTACCTGGCGGCGATGGGGGGTACCTGGCGGTGATGGGGGTGCATGGCGGTGATGGGGGGTACCTGGCGGTGATGGGGGGTACCTGGCGGTGATGGGGGGTACCTGGCGGTGATGGGGGTACCTGGCGGTGATGGGGGGTACCTGGCGGCGATGGGGGGTACCTGGCGGTGATGGGGGGTACCTGGCGGTGATGGGGGTACCTGGTGGTGATGGGGGTGCATGGCGGTGATGGGGGGGTACCTGGCGGTGATGGGGGGTACCTGGCGGTGATGGGGGGTACCTGGCGGTGATGGGGGGTACCTGGCGGTGATGGAGGGTACCTGGTGGTGATGGGGGGTACCTGGCGGTGATGGGGTACCTGGCGGCGATGGGCGTACCTGGCGGTGATGGGGGGTACCTGGCGGTGATGGGGGGTACCTGGCGGTGATGGGGGGTACCCGGCGGTGATGGGGGGTACCTGGTGGTGATGGGGGTACCTGGCGGTGATGGGGGGGTACCTGGTGGTGATGGGGGTACCCGGCGGGATGATGGGGGGGGGGGTACCTGGCGGTGATGGGGGGTACCTGGCGGTGATGGGGGTACCTGGTGGTGATGGGGGGTACCTGGCGGTGATGGGGGGTACCTGGTGGTGATGGGGGTACCTGGCGGTGATGGGCGTACCTGGCGGTGATGGGGGTACCTGGCGGTGATGGGGGGGTACCTGGCGGTGATGGGGGTACCTGGCGGTGATGGGGGGTACCTGGCGGTGATGGGGGGGTACCTGGCGGTGATGGGGGGTACCTGGTGGTGATGGGGGTACCTGGGGTGATGGGGGTACCTGGCGGTGATGGGGGGGTACCTGGCGGTGATGGGGGGTACCTGGCGGTGATGGGGGGTACCTGGCGGTGATGGGGGTGCATGGCGGTGATGGGGGGTACCTGGTGGTGATGGGGGGTACCTGGCGGTGATGGGGGGGTACCTGGTGGTGATGGGGGTACCTGGCGGTGATGGGGGGTACCCGGCGGTGATGGGGGGTACCTGGCGGTGATGGGGGGTACCTGGCGGTGATGGAGGGGTACCTGGCGGTGATGGGGGGTACCCGGCGGTGATGGGGGGGTACCTGGCGGTGATGGGGGTACCTGGCGGTGATGGGGGGTACCTGGTGGTGATGGGGGGTACCTGGCGGTGATGGGGGGTACCTGGCGGTGATGGGGGGTACCTGGCGGTGATGGAGGGGTACCCGGCGGTGATGGGGGGTACCTGGCGGTGATGGAGGGGTACCTGGTGGTGATGGGGGTACCTGGTGGTGATGGGGGGTACCTGGCGGTGATGGAGGGGTACCTGGCGGTGATGGGGGGTACCTGGCGGTGATGGAGGGGTACCTGGCGGTGATGGGGGGTACCTGGCGGTGATGGGGGGTACCTGGCGGTGATGGGGGTACCTGGTGGTGATGGGGGGTACCTGGTGGTGATGGGGGGTACCTGGCGGTGATGGGGGGTACCTGGCGGTGATGGGGGGTACCTGGCGGTGATGGGGGGTACCTGGCGGTGATGGGGGGTACCTGGCGGTGATGGAGGGGTACCTGGTGGTGATGGGGGGTACCTGGTGGTGATGGGGGGTACCTGGCGGTGATGGAGGGGTACCTGGTGGTGATGGGGGGTACCTGGCGGTGATGGGGGGTACCTGGTGGTGATGGGGGGTACCTGGTGGTGATGGGGGGTACCTGGCGGTGATGGAGGGGTACCTGGCGGTGATGGAGGGGTACCTGGCGGTGATGGAGGGGTACCTGGCGGTGATGGAGGGGTACCTGGCGGTGATGGGGGGGTACCTGGCGGTGATGGGGGGGTACCTGGTGGTGATGGGGGGTACCTGGCGGTGATGGGGGGTACCTGGCGGTGATGGAGGTGGTACCTAGCGGTGATGGAGGGGTACCTGGCGGTGATGGAGGGGTACCTGGCGGTGATGGGCGTACCTGGCGGTGATGGGGGTACCTGGCGGTGATGGGGGGTACCTGGCGGTGATGGGGGTACCTGGCGGTGATGGGGGTACCTGACGGTGATGAGGGTACCTGGCGGTGATGGGGGTAATGGTGGTCCTGACGGAAAAAAAAAAAAATCACGACTCAATGACCGGCAGTTGTTGAGAGGAGCGACGCATCAGCGGGGTAACGAAAATCACACGACTCAATGACCGGCATTGGGAAAAAGTAAAATTGCCGGTCATTAAGTCATATACCACTACTAAAATTGCCTGTCATTGGTCATTGTAGTAGTGGAAAAGGCCCCAAGTAGGGGCCGTTTTGCTTTTTTCGACGGCCCCTACTTGGCGCACCCGTTTTTAGTTACCCCAGTGAGATTTGACGGCCCCTACTTGGCGCACCCGTTTTTAGTTACCCCAGTGAGATTTGACGGCCCCTACTTGGCGCACCCGTTTTTAGTTACCCCAGTGAGATTTGACGGCCCCTACTTGGCGCACCCGTTTTTAGTTACCCCAGTGAGATTTGACGGCCCCTACTTGGCGCACCCGTTTTTAGTTACCCCAGTGAGATTTGATCGACAACGCCCCAACTGCTGTTCTTGCAGCCGCACCAACACCATCACTCTCACTGTTTTTAGTTACCCCAGTGAGATTTGACGGCCCCTACTTGGCGCACCCGTTTTTAGTTACCCCATTCCCATCACAATGATGGGAATGGGATGGGAATCACTCACGAAGACGTGCACTTCCCAGGACCAACGGTGCAGCAAGTGTTCCGGGAACCACCACTTCAAGGACTGTACTGCCGAATACCTCCACTGCATTCACTGCTCTGAAGAACATACTGCTGCCTCTGCTGAGTACTCTGAACGAATCAAAGAAATCAAGATGATGTCCGACGCCTGGCAGGCCTCCACCACTCGGTGTGCACCAACATCTTTCAACGTGAAAGCCGCCAACTT